GGCCCTGGGTTTTCTCCCGGCAGGAAATTCCTGACGGGGAAGGACAAGGAAAGCATCTTCACCATGGACCACTTCCCCCTGTGGTACCGCCGGGCAGCCGAGCACCCCCCGGGCAGCTTCGTCTACAGCGTTGCCTCGGAAGACGATTCAGGTAACCTCAGCCTGAACGCTGGAGAGCAGGGGCAGAGAAGGCTGCTCGCATCTTGCGTCCCACGTCACGCGTGTCCCACGTCACGCGTGTCTCACGTCACGCTCGTCCCCGTCCCTTCCTCGCCGCCTCCCGCCGAGCAGGGAGGCCTGAGGCCTGGCCTCTTGGCGTTGCCTCCGCACCGGCACAGAGGGCTCGTGGCGGAGGTGCTGGACACGAGGGAAAGGCAAAGCTGCCAGGTGCTGGGCAGCCGTCGGGGCTGCGGAACGCGAGGGTGCAGAGGAGGTGAAGGACGCGTGGGAACGCAGGGCCTGGGTAGAGCAAAGGGTACAGGGAGGTGGGAGATCACAAGGTACTCGTGGGGCTGGAGAACACCGGACCCGTGAGAAGGGGAAGGGACAGGTGTTGCAGAAGGAATTGGACACGCAGCTATGACCAGGCCTGGGAGGGAACATCATCAGACGCACTGAATGGTGGCAGCACCCAGGACTGGTGAGGGATCAGCAGGCACTCAGTTAGGAAGTGTCAGTTTAGAAGGTGTCACTTTTTCCATCACCCCTTCCCATGACAGGAAAGGATGGGTTTGTTATGGAAGATGGTGGAGGAAAAGGGAATGGTTTTCCACGGTTTTCCCTGGGTGAGGGTGTCTCGTTCGTCCCCTGTCGCATTGTGGTACTGGACTGTGGCACCTCCTGCCCAGCTGAGGAGCTCAAACATGAGAAGTAAGCAAGGAGTGGCGTTTCAGTGTCTCTTGCTTGGGGCATTGGTTCCTGTGAGTTTGCAGGGCCAGCCAGGAGCTCCTTAAAGGCTGGAAGAGAGCAGAATAGCCTAGAAAGAAACAATCCAAACAAAATACTCACGCGAGACTCCTACACAGAAGGCAAAAATCCCCTTTGTGCTCCTTTCTGGCCCCTAGCACTCCATCTCTGTCACGGAGCTCAGCACTTTAGCTGTTACAGCTTTTTGTGGTGCAGTAGTGGGAGGCTGGTGGGTGGGAACACAAGTGGCAAAGAGGAGAAAACCAGACTGTGAGGCAAGAGATGAACCGGGATGGAAAAAGAAAATATTTGAAACTTTCCACAAAAACCTCTCTCTGCACAGCACCCTTAAATCTCACTTAAAAGGCAAGTGTGGAAAGGGGGAGGCATGGCAGGAGGGACCTTTTTCTCCCCTGCGTGCGATGGCATTTGCTCCTTGGAATAGAGCGTGGGTTACAAAACCAGGCAGTGACACCCTATGGGGCTTCCTAGGGCAGCTGTTACCCAGGCCACAGTAGTCACTGCTGGCTAAACAGTGGTGTTGTGGCTTGATGTGGCTTGCTTGGAAGTCACGGGTAGTTTTGCGTGGATAAAGACAGAAGACAAGCAGCTGCTGCTGTTTTTTGTGTTGCATGGCTGTTGGTCAGAAGCTTCAATCACATCCAGGACCCCGCTCACCTGGAAACGCTACAGGCATGTTGTGAGAAGTATTACCTGGCCCTGAAGTCCTTATGCTCTAAACTGCAAGGAAGATTATTAGTCTCTTTAGAGATGAGCAGCTGGGGTTAGAGAGGCTGTGATCCATGAGATAACGCAATATGCCTGTGAAGAGCCAGGAAACAGTACTTGGTGCTTCTGAGCCACAGTCCTTCACTATCAGAGCACGAGTCCAGGCCCTGTCTTGACATCTGATGAATGAGGGGTGCCCCACCTTTTGGCCAGAGCAGACCACCGAGTTTCTCATTAAATTCTTGATGATTAGATGCTGATTTCATCCTTTCCACATGACTCAGTATATGCCTGCCCTCTGACAAGGGGTTTTCATGGCAGATGTGCTGCTCATCACATAAGAGGGAAGAGCCTGAAGACCTCCTTGTTGGGGAGCAAGCCATCAGGGAATGGCTGCAGGTGGTCAGAATAATTTATCCAGGGCTTCTCCTTCCAGTGTCCAAAAGTCCCAGAGACAAGAAGACAGGAGGGAAAGCTCTGCAGGTCAAGTGGAACTGTTCTTGCAGCCCAGATCTCTCATGTGTTGGGTGGTTGGGTTTTTTTGGTTTATCTTTTTTTCTCTAGGGTTGCTAAGTGTATTTTGCTTATCTGTCCCATCCTAGGGAGAGCAAGAAATTTGGGGTTCACCATAAAGGCAGGATTAGACTCAAGGCATGTGAGCATAATTTAGCTGGGTATTTGTTTCACAAGGGCTTTACTATTTCTGACATCCTTGAGCAAGTTAATCTGGCTTCAGTCCAAAAATAATGAGCAAGAGACTCCAGGCTAAACAGGATCATGCTCAGGACACACTGGGTACCAACAAGAAGGATAAAGGCAGAAATGGAAAGCAGTAGCAAATGCTGGAGCTCTTGGGAAGGAAAGAATACCTGACCCATCTGTCTGAGCAAGAGATTTCCATACAGTCTGTGAGGAGGGAGTCAGTTGCAGGCTAAATCGATCGTGCTGACCTTCAGACTGTCCCCTGGCAGTTCCAAAAGAGGTGCCCCAGCTGAAGCTAACAGAAATTGAATCTGTCACATGGACATTTGCAGGCTGAAACAAGTGCACTAACAAAGAGAGGGCAGGTGGGGTTCAGTTGCTTAAACCTATCCAGCCATGCTATTTGAAATGCCCTGTGGGAGCTGAGAGATCTGCACAGGGCTGGCAGATGTGACACAGGACCTACAGGACACTTAAAGCAGCAGCTGAACGGTAATCGGGAGACCCTGGGGCATAACAGAGTTTAGACAGCAAAGTCCCAGAAGACTTCTTCTAAAATGGGGTGCTCCTGGAAGTACCTGGAAGTGCTGTGTCTGTCTCTCCAGTTTGCAGTGCTGGCCTGGCTTGGGTAACAGAGCTAGGTGTTAGCCTGGCCTTTGCTGTGCGAGAGTTGGTGTCAGAATTACCTGTCCTGCTTCTCCTCTGTCTACAGAGCTTAGCTGGCGCATGAAGCGGAGCAGCTTTGTGGCCTAAGAGAAGCTCTACGTGCCCAAAATTGAGGAGGCCAGTCCTTTACATTTTATGTTGAGGATGCTACTTTTATCATGGGACATTATCTAGAAGAAAAAAAAAAAAATCTACTCAGAGCTGCTTAGTTTGCTTATGTGTCTTGAAAGATGCAGTCCTTCAAACTCTTGGGTGTTTCAGGGTTGAGACATATGTACACACGGCCCTGGATGTGAAGATGTGTGAGCAAGTTGCTCCTGCTGTGTTTTACTCCTCTCTGGTGGTAAAGTAACCAAGCCTGCCATATTTGTGTCTTGACAGAGGGAGGTGGCCTACCGAAAGTGGTGACAGTGAGCACAGCTGTGGCTGTGGCTGTGGATGGGAAGATGGGCATTGCTGCAGGTAGGACATTCTGGTTTCTCTTTTTATCTTGAATGAGATGGTTGCATCTTGTATTGAGAGTGGGAGCTGAGAGCTGTTAGCTTGTCATTCAAGGGAAATGACGGGAGCCACAATAGCTTGTGATGTTGAAAACTAGGCTAAACAGAATATTAGCAGAGGTACTGAACGGCTGATAGGCTTTTGAAAGGGAAATTAGCTGTTTGAATGGAAGCTTCCCATCTTCAGTGCTGGTGAATTTGTGGGTTGAGACTGTTTCTCTGGAACATGAGTAGGTTAAGAAGTCCGCAAAGGTTTTGAACTGTTTGCAGGAGACACTTTTGGTTTTGGAAGAAGAGCATGTTCTTGTGTCTCCATCATTATCTCAGCTGAAAAATAACTTTTGCTGGTGGGACAGGCATGTTGCTGGATTTCAAACTCGGACATATGCATTGCCAAACATATCTTTGTATGTGAGCTTTAAACCCCTTGTGGCAGACCTTTGCTAGACTCTGTGTCTACTTTTGGAAAATTCATAAAGACCGTTATTTCCAACAGAACCTCATAACTTTTGAAGCTTTACCATTTTCTGCAGCAATTGCTTCAGCCTTTATGCAAGTACTGCGAACTCAGAAGTGAAACAGAGCAGCCATTTAATGAAACAAAGCAACATTAATCAGTAATGCTGGCATCATATCCAACTTAAACACTCTGTGTAGGAGTATTGGGGTAAGAGAAGTTGTAGCTCAGTGGACATCTTTTTTAGACCAGGAAGCACTGGCTAAGGGAAGAGGTTGGTGGAACAGGTAATGGAGTAGTTATTACCAGAAATGTGCTGAGACGCAGAGCTGCCTTTGAAAGAATGGTTGGTGTTAATGGAGTCCTGTACGGTGGCAGGAATGGCTGAGTAGAATAGATACCAAACCACGGCTTTGTTATAGGAGTATCCAGTAGAGAAAAGGCCATGTAACAAATACCTTCAGGTCAGAGAGTCATCCACTGCTTTTGCCTGGGCTGTGTAGGATACCATGAGTGGTCTTCAGTACTACTAGTCCCTTTAACTTCCTCTGATGAAGCGTTCCTGAATTTCCAGGCTTTCAATAAGTTCCAGTTGAGAGGGGTACTCTTCAAGTATCACCTGGGCATCAAGAAAGTACTTATAAGCCGAAGGAGGGGTGTTATGAAATAACACTTTTCACTGATCTATCACCATTTCTTGCCCGAAGCCAGAAAATTGTTGTGAAGTTTGTCCGGAGACCCCTGTGACAGAGAGATGGTTTCATTAAAATTCATGTTGAGTAAGTGCTTGGGTTATAGAAACTGCTCTCAAAACTGATACTTGCTGGCACTGTTACGAATATATCCAGCAGAGAATGAAATAGCATTGCAACAGTACCAAGGGTCTCTGTGCAGCACTGGAGCATTTTTCTAAGCATGAATTTGGGAGGAGAAGAAACATTTAAAAAAAAAAAAAAAAAAAAAAAAGATTGTTTTTCATGTTTCTTTTCCTTCCCTTTCCTCACCTGTGAGTTAGAGCAGAGGCACACAAGCAGTTCATCTGGCCCTCAGCATAAATATAAGGAAGGAAAATTCTGGGTGGAAGAGGTGGAGCAAGAACAAGTGGCAGGAAGATCTGCCCCTGACAGAGCCATTTCTCTTCTGTCAGCAGTGCTTTTCACAACCCCTGTGGAGATTTCCACCTACTCAGTTACGCTGAACGCTGAATTGGTTGTCTGTGTGGACATGCTGTGAAGGGGCAGGATCCTCTGCAGAGGGAAGAGGAGGGTGGAGAATGCAGCAGAGGATAGGGAAAG